AAACGAACTGCTAACGCCGATGAAACTTTTCAAGCTATAGTTAACTTTTCCAACTTTTCAGTGTGCCAAAATTCTCACTCGCGAACGGAAGATTGTGACTCACCCTGCAAAATCAATGACTTTTTTACAAACTTCAAAATACTGAAAGATATGGCTGAACAACTAGAACTTATTGAACAGACAGAAGACTCTATAACTGAAAATATGGATACTTTAACACCAAGTACTAGCAACCCGTCGGATAATCCCATAGAAGATCACCAAGTAAGAAGAAAACAGTCAAAATTAACATATTCCCATTCTCTTGGCCAGAAATATTCGATTCGAAATTTATGTCTCTATTATCAAAACAAGATCTAGTACTGAAAAAATAATTAAAGCAATTGAGGAAGACCGCAAACAAGATATTCTACAAGTGGGAAATTACTATAAATCGTACTTGAATAACTTACACGTCAGCGGAGGATGTCTTTATCTGGACAATCGACTAGTTATCCCGGCATGTTTAAGATCGACAATGCTCCACCGGTTACACGAGGCCCACCCAGGCCAGTTTGCAATGAAGAGTCTGGCAACCCAATACATCTGGTGGCCAAAAATTTATCGTGAAATCCAAGTCCACGGCGAAAACTGTATTGAGTGCGTTAAGGCAGGTAAAAACTTGCAACCTCTTTCAAACCATAATACCCTAGGGAAACTCCCAACGGTCGGAGAACCAAATCAAGAAATGGAATTAGATTTTGCTAGTCCGTTACCACAAGTATGGGGAACAAAAAATACATATTGGTATGCGTGGATACATTTTCAAAATTCCCTTCTGCTCAAATAACATCCAGCACATCGGCAAAATCTATCATAAACTTTCTTAGCAAATACATAGCTCTACATGGTATACCTAGAACTATCAGAACAGATCAGGGAACTGGTTTTATCTCCAAAGAAGTTAGAGAATTTTTCCATGAACATATCATAAAGGATATATTTAGCCCTGTGGGTGACCATAGAGCTACTGGATTAGTTGAACGCTTAATTAGAACCATTAAGGAAAGGCTCATGGTTATGGCACAAGAACGCCCAAAACCATCACTACAATTTGCCTTACTAAAGATAATAAAATGCCTAAGAACGATAACACAACAGTCGCTTAACTGCTCTCCCTTCGAAGCACACTTTGGTAGATCCCCAAATACTTTCTAGCATAATTTAGTCAAATCACCATCCTCAGATAACCTTGATTGGAACAAAACCCTGTTATGCATAGATAAGGGCCGAAAACTCATGAGTCGAGAAAGAAGACACGACTGGGACGCCCCCGATGATATTGAGGACGGAGATCTAGAGGAGAACTCATCATCCTCGGAGGATATTGCTAATGCTGTGAGATATGTCCTAACCAGTGCTGGGTCTCCAGTGAAAGTGCTCTCCCGCGCAGTGAAAAGAGATGCCTTGGGCAAAAAAAAACTCAGTGCTGAACAACCCGCCGGGTAAGACCACTATATATAGAAAAGTTCAGGATAGATCGAAGATTAAACCATTCTATAAAGAACTCAAGGAGGAAATAGAAAGAGAGTCAGACCACACAATTACTCTAAAAAATGGAAAAATATTACGTAAATCTGATTTAGCCATGAAAAGACAACCAGCCCTGAAGAAATCGAGCCCGAGAAAGAAAAACAAATTAGTCAAATTCTATGCAACAAAATGCCTGAGGAAGACCACGAGACCACAAAGAAATGTCGGGTTCAAAAGTTCAAGATCGACTCAAAAGAAAAGAAACCTCCAGGCTAAATTTGAAGAGCTCGATATTGCGAGGCGGAACGCGGCGATGAACAGTTCTCGAGAGACACTCCTTAGAGAGGAGGAAGAGCATTAAAAAAGATTGAGATTCCCGATCGGCCTCGAAAGTGACCACGAGTCAAGCCCGTTGGGCAAACCCTACCATCCAAGAATTGGTGGAAACGAATACCGAGCGACGAACAATTCAACAGAAATCTCATCAGACGACAACGCTAGCGACCTAATTTCACTAAAGGAATTAAAGACCAAAACTGTAACTGATCCAGAAAAGTCAGTAGAGTACCTATCACCAGATCAAGCAGATCTTAAGACCGAAATTACGGATCAGACCGATCCGAAAGTAGAAAGTTCCGAATTTCCGCTGATCGATCTTGACGCTGAAGACAATAACACAACATCTCATCCAAATTCACCACTAATCTTCCTGGACAGCCACGAAGAAGCAGACAAAGATAACAAAGACAGGCCAATTTCTTTTGAAAATCCCATTACAGAACAAATTGAAAAGATTTCCCACCCGATCACAATCGCAGGAACAGAGGAACAACAACCAGAGGTTATTTCTATCAAGACAACAGCGAAATTGTCCGGCACTGCAAAGAGAAAAGCTTCATCACCAGTGAAATCACCGCCCTCTAAAAATTTGCCCGGTATTTACGAACGACATAACGCCAGACCTATGCGAGTTAGACATCCACCAACAATGATGGGGGAGATAGTGTTTACTAATGTATTAGACATATCGGATGAGAAGTTAGACGTCCCAACACTTCATCAATTTCACACCCCACCATACTACCCGACGATTGAGGCAACCTCTATCGAAATGGAGAGTCATCAAAATGACGTGGTGGACTTAACAACCCCGACATCACCGTCGACACCGGATCCGACGTTAGTGGATCTGCTAGAAGAAAGCTTTGGAAACTCGAGCGGTATATCCAGCTGCTAGCCCACTCAAGAAGGTTAAATTCAGCCCCGAGGTCCACACTACTCGATTTCACCCATTGGGCCTACCCTCCGAAACAACTGAGTCAGTATCTAATCCAATTGTTCTGGATCCAGACTGGCTAAACTCCTCTTCTATCATTTCAGCGATAGAACTGTTAGGACGGCCAATGACGCTTGATGAACTTCGAAGATGGACAATTAATCGAGCCGCAAACCGGGACACAATTTAGATCTGCTGAGGTATAGCAACCTGGTCATTAAAACTCAAACACTCAGCAAACTCTCAGTCAGTAACTTTTTAAACTTTTTCTTCTAGTATTTTTTCTTCTTGTTTCTAATCTATGTTGCTCAGCATTATGACGCAGTTATAGTTATACCGTACTACCGGCCTAATACGCCACAATCGGATTATCTCGAGATACCTTAATTTGTAACATGAGTCACATAATAGTACATTTATTCAATTATCAACCTTATCTCACCCATCGGGTGCTACCGTGGTATATTCTTACGTTAATTTGGGTGCTATCATCTCGCCTACAGAGTCATATTGCGGGGCTTCTTTTCCGACCAGCGTACCCACTTATCCATTCCCGAGTCCGAACAATTTCGTATGTAACGACAAGCATATATTTTAGTTAGTCTTTCATAACCATCAGGTGCTAACGTGGAATGATCTCATGATTGATCATCTACCTTAGTATCATGCTATTATCATGCTATTATTTTGCCCTTCGGGCTTTCGTGCGGGGTTTTTCCGACCAGCGACCCATTCATTTACCCCGTGTCCGAACATTCCTTTTGTGTGTTGAAAGTATAGTATAACCAATTTTTCGCGGGGAATGTTAAAGGTGATACTTTACGCTAACATTATAGCCTCTAAGCTATATTAAGCTGCTGACGTATGTTTATGTTAATTTAAAAATACCTGCCAAAAGCGCAACGGCTTTTGGTAGATTTAGAGAGATTGTTCATTGTCTAATTTTGATATGGAACCAATCTGACGAAACTAATCTTAATTCAACCGTTTTATTACCTCTTAACTTTAGCGTAATTACCTTAGTCTTTTATTTAGTCTTAAATAAAAGCCTACAACAAATTGTAGGAATCTTAAGCCGACCTGTCTTAAATTAGTCTTAGTTTGAGTTCAACCTTTAACATTCTTAGACGGTTTATCCTAATTTTTTAACACCCACCCCGAGCACAAATATTCCGTTACTTTCGTATCGAAAGTCGGAACAAAAACTTATTTTATTTTTTTTACATTTAATTTTTCCACAAAAACTTTTAGATTTTAAATTTGTAGAAGGAAAAACGTCAGATGTCATGCAAAAATTTAAAGGCAAAAGTTATACTTGTCATTCAAACTGTTTAGCAAAAAATCAACGCGGCAAAATTGCGCCTGTCGCATTCCTTTTTCTTCGGTCCCAGCGGTCATGGTTAACGAAGGTCTCATAATATCCGGTTTTGGTCGCGACACTCTGGAAACTCCAAATTTGGTCGCTGTAATTAAATCCAAAAACCACATCTAGGGCTTGGTCTGTTCGAAAAACTTGTTTATGTACCAAAATTCCTTTCTTTCATTCAAAAAACCAGTCTGTTTACACTGAGTAGTTTCGTATTGTCACAGCTTGTATAGTCACTATAGTCTCTGCAAAAATCTGACAACGAGTAATTACACAGTATTCAGTTTTTGAAAATAAGGAACGGAAAAATTGAGACTGTGATTTATACTTTTTGTCTCGAAGTTTTTGGGCTTTTAGCTAGCAATTTTTTACGAAATTTAATATGTAGTATGAAAGATATTGATGTTGTGTGCGAGCTCTATTATCAGTTTGAAATTAGTCAACTGCCATTTGTGTCAATTTTAATAAGTTTTCATGGGCTCTTTTTCATTTTCCCCTCATCTGACATTGGATTTTTAAGATTGCGTGTGGAAATCAAATATGTTGGCATTAACCTAAAGATTCCGTATGCTAGTTTTTGCAAAAACCCGACATTGCAAGTCAAAGTAATACAAAACGCAAAAGTTGGTCGGTGGGAGAAGGGGATTGGAAGCAACAAGAGCTTTATCGGAATTTTAATGAATCTTATCCATTGTTTCGGAATCTTATCCATTGTTTCGATGTGATATATGTCGAATGCGATTTGGCCAACAAGATTACAAAATAAGAACGTGTGATCAATTTAGATAGAAATTTATCCCTTAAACACTCCTTCTTGATTTAATATACGGTAACTTCTGCTTATAGGAATCAGATCATACAGTCTGTCCTACTTCAGCGCCATGTTAAACGGAGGAGTGTTCAAGCTGTCTCCACATTCTTGCAGAAGAGTCTTTGAAGAGTTGGATGAAAATCAAGGCGTGAACGATCAATCTCCGTCTTCAAACGATGACTCATCATCAAAGCAAAAGGAAGTGTTTTCATTTAAACACGACATTCTTCTTAGATACGACTCTTTGTGGTTAGTAGCTTCATTAAGAAAATCTTTTAACATGAGTTTTTGAAGTTTTGGAGCTAAACCTATAACATCAACTCAGGGTTGGATTCAGGATTTTTTGACGGCAGTTCGGCCCCATATCCCGTCAAGAAATATCCTAGATCCACCCTTATTTGATGAATGGGGGTCGGGCGGGAATTTTCAATAAATTCTTAAAAAATTCGTTATTTTTTATGTACTCTGCAATTTCTTGAACTCTCCTAAAGCTTCAAAAAGACTAGTTTTTAACAAAGAAAGATTTTATACAGCCGCCGAAGTTTTTAAATGCCTTTTTTTGGCAATAACTGGATCTCGAATTCCTCAAAAGGGAACGTTCTTCTAAATCTGCTCCTGCATCAAGTGCAACCTAAAATAGCTCCATATAAAAAACTATAACTCAAATCACCAAATTTTACTTTTAGCCCTCTAGCAGATATTCAAACTGTTGTGAACTGGGAACCGGGCAAGCGAATTTGCCAGGAGATGGCACTGATGAAAAAACTATCTGAAGTCACCGGCTATTTCGACCGCGGACCCCTACCTGCTCCCCCGAACCCCTTCCCGTCATTCGGCTCATCCACATCTCTCGGCAGCTCCGAGAGCAGCGAGAGCTTCGACAAAGCCGAGAGCCCCGAAGGTGGTCCCTCTGTACCTGTAGATTTAGTCAGTGAAGCCAGGACGAATTTCAGAGCGTACATTTCGTCTAAGCTGGGCAAAAACAAGGCATCCCAATATTTCGTCACGCCGCCTCCGGGTGAAAATACCACATCTCAAATTGACGACAGTTTGTGGTTCTATGATTAAAGTGATTACGAAGCTTTTTTTTATTCATTACTTCTCGAAATATTTATTTAGATAAGTTATAAACTGTTAAATATCCATGAAAGTTGATGAAAGTTTTGAATGGCCACCAGTTTTTTGTTTTAGAGTTTTGTGTCAAAGCTGTGTGAAATCTTTTCTAGTATGTTGTTAAAAGCGCGTTGTCTCGACAGGATTTACTAGTGAATCAATTATTTGACAGTAAATCTATACCAACGCTGGAAACTCTCCGGAGCAATTTGAGAAATGATGATCGCATTGAAAAGTTTAACATTTTGCAAATGACAGTTTTGCGGAAACAGAAAACAATTCGAAGGTGCAGGAATTTTATTTATGGTTGTTGTATTTGCCCGGAAAAAATACCCGATTCCAAAATTTTTCCTAGAAATTCTTACTCAGAACATTAAGTTTTTATTTAAGAAATAGAAACTTTGTCTCTGGGAGTCTTTCGTGCGCAAAAGATCATAGGCGCGAATTCTTTGAACAACCAATTAGAGCTCAGAATTGAAAAATTCGAAAAAAAAGTATCCCAATAAGTTCAGTCAGTTTTGGGCAGTTTACTGGGCGTTGATTGGTTGAGAGTTTTCGTGCATTCGGTCTTTCGCGCGTGAGAACAGCCACATACTTCTTCACTCAAACCGAGAAACTTAAAATACCTGCCTGCGTAACAAAAGTATAAAAGAATTATAAAATTTAAATTAAAAAAAAAAACTGGATGCAAAATTCATACATTCGATGTCATTGTAACTCCCTTTTTTAGAACATAAATAACGACAGTCTTTATTCTTATGCAGTGAAATAGTAAATGAATTGGTGTATAAGAACGCCTGATATCAGAATCGAGTCAAAAGTAAGTCCTGCGCAGTAGTTTTTAGTCGTGACGTCAGTAGTAGTATTTTGAGGCCAATTTTCCTCAATCTCGTCATCAACTATGTGAGCTTCGATCCATTCTTCTAAATGAGCCGTCATTCCTAGTTCGGACAGCTGGCAATTGAGCGACTTAGTCACTACATAACCCGACAAGCATCGTTTTTTGGGATCGTTCAAATCTACACCGAGAATTGGGTTCCCGACGTCCTGTCTGCATAGCTTCTCGACCGCTTTGTCGTCTTTTTGCCCACAGGTGTATTTTGTATGCAGGGGAAGATTCGGTTCGCATTTCGTTATTTTTACCTCAGTAAAAGTGGTGTTCAAATTTTCAACCTGCTTGAAAGAAGTGAATACTTCTTCCCGCCAGTTGTTGCAGAATCTCAATGTCGTCGCGGGCTTTGGGGGCACTGCGTTTGATTCTTGTGCAGGTTCGGCAGATTTGAAGGGTTTGATTGTCACGATCACTATGTTGGATGTCACCGGGTCTGTCGAAAAGCTGAAATCGTATTTTGGTTTTTTTGAAATCAAAATTGAAATTTTATTAGAACTCGGTTCATCTACTGTATCTTTTAAACAATTCATGTATATCTTGTAAGGCATCCTTGACTTATTTTATTTTTCTTTCCCTTCTACCCCTCCTCGCATAGGAATAGGTTTTGTGTCATAACCAGGGGCGGATCTAGGATTTTCTCGAGGATTTTCTGAAGATAAAATAAATCCTAGTTGATATCCTAATCAAAATGGATGTCATGAAAAAACCAAAGGCGGAAAACCCTTTGTTTGGTGAGGGGGTCGAATCATTAAAAGAAGAAACATGCGCTCCCCTTCCCGCCTCTGCATAGATGTAAAGCTACCCTTTCGTAGCTCTCTTGATGGTCGAAAAAGGCGAACCTCCGCTGATTATTCTGAGCAGACGGCGAATCGATTGTCCCAAAATGTTTCAAAAAACCCGAAAATTAGTCAAATACTTTTTGTTGAAACAGGACAATAACTTCGTAGAATTAACACTCACTTGGCCGGTATGTCGATTTTGGCTATCCCAGCTGTGTGGAACTTCATACTCTTGTCTGTATTTTGAGTGTCATTATAGGTCACAGTCGCATCTGAAACATACTTTCAAAGATAGAAAGTGAGAAGTTTTTCTTCAGCGCCGTTCGCGCTTTCAGTCAAATCTGATCTCACGCTTCGGTTACAGAGCAGTTAGTAGACAACCGCGTTTTTTTCCTAAGTATGCTTTCGCATCGCGAGTCTGATTGGTTAAAATTGTTTTTGTATACCTACAGACGATACAGAATACGCGGTTGTTTACTTACAGACCGTCATCTTCACGCTAAATCTCTTTTCTTTTATCTGTTAAGTTGGTACTTTTGAACAGATAGATATATATTTCAAGCTGTGAGCTAAGATGATTTTTTTTTATTGGTTGGCATTTTTAGTGCAAAATGACCGAAAGCTTTTATAAAACTGAGACATTGACCCCAAGGAAAATGAACAGCATCAAAATTTTTCCGCTTTTTAAGAGAGAACCGCGATTGAAACCTAGTTTATATGATTTTTTTTCCGATCTGCCAAACTGAAGGCACTCTCGCTATTATCACGCAAAAAAAAACAAATAATGGTGAGCCTCGAACTCTCTGGGTTGAGAGAAAGATTCAATATCCTCCTAATAAGACTTCCAAAATTCGTAGGTATTTAGTTTTCGCAACCACCATAGATAACGTGATCACATTTGATTTTCTCACCCCTCCAGTATTTTTCATCGATCATTTCTCTGAAATCTTTTGTGAAGCAGTAAGCAGTCGTTATCACTTTGTTTTCCCTCACGAAAGTTCCTCCGCATCTGATGCTCCCATTCTTGCCTGTCGGAATTTCCAAGTGGGCAAAATAAGCGGGCCATGATAACCTTTGTACTTCGCATTTTGCGAAACTTATCAGAACAAATATTGCAAAAAATTTTACCCAAATTGCCATTTTCATTTTGCCAATTTGCCAATATTTGTTGTTAAATTACCAATTTTTATCAAATTTCAGTTTTGAATTATTTTTGAATTATTTGAATTCTGTCTTGAAAGATGTGAAATGTTTGTGGGAACCAAAATTTATGGCAGTAACTTGAAATGAAGAGTCGTTTGATTTCAAATGAAGTTCGTCGATTTAAGCTGAAGTTCTGATTTACTGTCCGCCATTTAAACGGTGCTTTGTCAATTTAAAATCAGGTCACTACGTCGAAATTTTCAAACCTATAAAGGCGGCCTATAGTCGTGCACTCATTTAGCAGACAAGTCCCTGAAATGGAACCAGGGTGTTGCATTTATCACTCTAAAAAGCTTTAAGTACAGCTTTTCAGTGTTGTAAATGTCAAAAAATTGCATTTGGAAAATCTTAGACTACTTGAGTATTCGGTTCGTTACTGCTATATGAAAATGCACTACAATTCAAGCGCTTAGTTATTCGCTTTTAAAAATTTGATGACCAAATTTGAAAGCAGACATCAAAAAGTGTCTACAAGAAAGTAATTTCTACCAACAAGGGCTCATTTTGATGCTAGTGTGAATTTATATCATATAGAAAGTTTGTCTTCAAACTCATATGAACCTTCGACTCATTGTGAATCATCCAATCATCTACTTTCTGAAAATATGACATAAATGAACAAGTTGGAAATTAAAAAAAATCAGAATATCGATTTTTGACAAGTCTTTTTAGCACAAAGTTACATGATTAAATTTGTATTTTGCTAAAAAATTTTTTGAAAAAGTATAACAATTTATCATTTTTTTGCTTAAATTTGTGACCGCAAAATTTTCAATAGCAATGAATAAAATTTCTGAAAACCAGCGAGCTTATTTTGCATGTAGAAATGCGCACATATCGGCCATTGAAAACATAAGAGAAATTTTTATGATTAAGAGTTTTTATATTCAACGTTTTTAGTCATTTTGCTATAGATTGTACCGAGCGTTGACGTTAATTTCTTCATAGTTCACACTTTTATTGAAAAATATTGAACTTTCAGAAAATCAAAAACTCATGTTTCGTTTCAACTCGTTGTTTCAATGCAGGTGATTCTTGTATCCAGGCAAAAATATCAGCCAAAACAGTTTAAAAGCAATTGCAGCAAAAAGTTTAGATTTTACTTGATATGTTGATTTGAACAAATACGCTATTAAAATTGAGTTTTTAATATGCAAAAGTAAACAGAAACATTTTTTGCAGAAAACTATTTAGCGGAAAAACAAGCACATTATTTTTCATATTCCAGCGACAACCCATTTTGTATTTTATATACGGACGGGAGGGGTTGTGTTTTCCATTCAAAATGTTCTATATTGTTCACCCCAAGGCTCCATTCTGATGCAGCATTTTTTCTTTTTTTGTCGCCAGTTGATATGAAAAGCAAAATCAACTAGAGTACGGATGACACGTCAATGTTTAATAATGATACAAGGAAGCTGTTGACAATGGAAAAAGTTAATTACCGGGACAAGGAAATTAGAAGATCAGAGTATATTTGAGTTTCGACGGTACCCCCATCTAAGAAAAGTGGAAAAAAAATTAATTATAATGGGTTTTTGTGTTCTAAAATGTAATTAATATAGTCGATTCCCATTTTGCCCCAGACAACAAAAAAATAGTAATTTTGATCCTAATCCATTGTTTTTATCCAATTTAAAGTTAATTATAATCCATTCAAAATCAGTTTGCCTCTTTTACCCCCCCCCACCAACGATTGCTCTTTTGCCCCCTTACCGCATCCCCAACGTCCCAACGCTTTCCCATTTGCCCCATTCCCTCATCAGCACACGTTTCTAAATAAATTAAGAAAAAGGTTGAAAGTAACAAAACTGAGTAATACAAAATGATAAACTGAAATCAAAGTTGCGCTGAAAAAAATGTATAAACTTAACAATAAGTTATCAATTCTACTTTAAAAAAATGAAAACGACTTCATGTGCATTGAAATTGGCATCTCAAAAAAATGGAAAAAAGGTTAAAATTGAGTTTTTTTGTGCTTAACTATAAAAGTGAAAAATGAATCAATCATAATTGGTTTGCAAGGGATTTTAATGCTTTAGTAAAGAATAGCATTATAATCTATTTTTAGTCAATGATAATCAAGTATTTTTTGCTTTTAGAGACAATGACAATGAGACTCATTTTTAATCGATTTTTATTCCCGAAACTCCAGTGCGGGTAACTTGCGTGCAAATTGGGTGAAATTTTCCTTCATACTTTAATTAACCTTTGGTTGAGTATACGCTGGTTGTCCAACTCTAAATCAAGTTATGAGCAACCAAATAGTTTAAAAGTTGCATATCAAATTTTTACTGAACTTTTTCGATTTGATATTGTATAAATATTTTACAATAAAACTTTGAACAGTTCTGGGATAATAAATTTTTTGTTTTTGTGTATCTTCATTTTAAACAAAAAAATATGTTGTCAATTCTTGTCGTCTAAATTCACAGAGCTATCACCTAAGTTCAGTTATTTCATAATCGTCTAATATGCTGGGCATCTAATTTCCTAAACCCTTAACTATCAGCTCCTCTAACTGCAAGGATCGTAAATTGTCGATGAGCTTTTGAAGACAATGCAACATAAATCATTTTTTGAATGCATTGAATCTTTCAAGTTTTTCAGAGATCACATTTATGATAAACATAACATATTTGGGCAGTTAAAACAAAATTATTACATTTTGATGAAATTATGTAAAATAATTGAAAAAAAAATTTTTAGGCCATTTTTTTTCCGATATAAAATGTATTTTTTTTAGTATAAATGTTTTGTTTTCTATTGTATAAAAATCCTTACACTTCATAATCTGCAACGGACCGATTGAACTCAAAATTTGAGCTTCGCAAGCGTTTTGCTAGCATGATAGTCCATGTTTTCTGGACAAAAAATTGTTTCTAAAAGTCTAATTACGCTTTATGATAATACTCTTTTTGTTTAATCAGATATCAAGTTTTTTTATGCCCAACACGCCGCTTGATTTTTCAAAAACCGACGCACAGAAATCCAGAATTTCAACAATATTTTTCTTGGCACTGGTGAAAACAAGCAGGCTAATGAATTACGCTGCAGACCTGGCTGCAGAAAAAACGAAAGAACAGAATTATTAACAGGGATAAAAATTGTACCCATATTTGGAACAGATCACCAAAAATTTATCATCGCGCAGTTTTTGATTGATTTAATTCATCATACTTCATGAAATTGTACCGTGTTTTTATGTGGTAGTTTGAATTGCTAGTTTTGTTTAATTATTCAATTTGTGACTTCGTTTGCTTTTTTCATCGCGTCTTTTAAGGTTCCGTATTCTTTCATTATTTCATCCAAGAGTTTCTTGATGTCCTGAACGAACTTTGTCTTCATATCGTCATACTGTTTGAACTTATTAAGACAATCTCCACGGAAAGTGTTGACGCGAAAGCTGTGATCGCTCTGAAAAAAAACTCTTGATAGGTCTTATTAAAAAGTTCTGTGATCATTTCTAAGAAACTCATAATGTTTTTCATTGAAAAAATTCTGTGATCGCTCTTAAAAAACTTGTAATCGTTTTTATAAAATTAATGATGATGTTTTTCAAAAAATTACTTGAACTTTTTCCCAGTATTTTTTTCGGTTTTTATCATTTAATTTTTTTCAATTTCAAATTTCAAGTTTTTTCATAAAAAAAGTATTTTCCCAGTAATTTTTTTATCATTTTCACGAAATATTTTCATAAGTAATTCAGCATATTTTTTTTGCAAATAGTCTAGACTTCTATCATGAATCGTAAGTATCAGAAAAAGTATATTTACTCCAGAATTCCTGTCAAATTTGAACTGGGAAAAAATAATTTGCTATATAAGCTTATTTTTAGAAAAGCTCAAAAAAATCTATTCGGCCGACCTGAAAAAGTCAAAATTTCTTTGTAGAATCTTTTTCTAATAAAATTAGCTCCCCTCATGAAAAATGAAAATTTAAGGTGTTTGCTTCGCCTCTGATTCCATTTCCATGTTTTTATAAAGTCGAAAATAAAAATAAAATTTCTTTGAATTCTTTGGATTTTTTGGATAATTTTATTACAAGACATTTTAGAAAAACTTGCTTCGTAGAGTGAACTGGAAGCCTGCTCTTCGACCAAAAGAAGTTTGAGGAACTCATTTTGGTACTCCAGGATTTCAAATGTCATCTCCTCCAATCTCCTTATCGTGCAGTTTGACAGCCTCTCAACGTCCTCCATTCCAGTTTTCACTTTGATCTACAGAACGAGACATATTTTGTGCAAAATTATGACAAGTTTATCGATGATAGCGCGCGAATAACCAAAGATAACCAACCCTCATTTAATTTTTCAATTTTTTTTTTCATTATTATGTACTTATATTTTATCTTTTAAGTTGTTTTTATTTATGACCGTTTATTGGAGGTAAAGGGCCAAAATACGAGTCGTTCAGATCTTTACGAATAGCTAACTTTGTTCCCCTCTTGAAAATTTTTAGAACAACAATTTATGAGGCTTCTTATAGCACTTTCTTGAGAACAAAAAAAAGCCTTGGAAGAAAAGCAAAAACGGCTTTTTCTAAAAAAAATTTTTGCTTTTTTTGATAAAAAAGCTGTTATACAATCGAAATTTTCTTTTCTCTAGGTTTTTGTCTGCTCATAGTCAAACGAACATAAAAACATCAACATTTGCTAAAAAAAATGCCGAATTGTTTGTGGTCGAAAATATCTGTGATTCTTGCAAATTAAATTTAAATTAAGAAATCGGGGGTGAAATTGTAGATTATGTGAAAAAGTCTAGGCTTACATTCAGAAGTCGGAGGTAAAATCAATATTTTTTTTGTCGGTTTTTAGACTAAAATGAAAAGCAAAAGCTATTTTTTCTATAACATGATGTTGAATTTTAAACAAATTCTTGTTAGAATTTTTCAACAAGAGACATTTTTTCTAATGTGAAAATTACTCTAATGTTGAACCAAAGACACAAGTATATCCCCAATGTTGCAAGTTCTATCAATACCAGTTACAAGATTCAATACAAACTTTCCGCAATTGCAAAATCAGAGCCTTAACATCAAAATAGACTATGAGACAGAACATGAGAAAAAAATGATTTTTTTGTTTTTATACGGCTCAACAGCTCTCAACTTCTCCAACCTCCTTATGATGCAGTTTGACTCCCTCTCAACGTCCTCCAATCCAATTTTCTTTTGATCTACAGAACGAGGCATCTTTTTGTCCCAAACTATGACAAGCTTATCGATGATAGCGCGCAAATAACCAAAAATAACCAACCTGTTTTTAAATTTTCAAATTATGTTTCAATTATTATGTACTTATTTTTTAACTTGTAAATTGTTGTTAATAATGACCGTTCATAGAGTTAGATGACCAAGATATCAGACGTTTTGATATTTACCAATAGCTACCGTTGTTCGCCTCTTGAAAGCTTCAAAAACAATAGTTTTTGAGGCTTCTTTTAGCGCCTTCTTGAGAACAAAAAAGCCTTAAAAAAACAAAAAACAACTTTTCCTAAAAAAAAAATTGTTTTTTTTTCCGATAAAAACTGTTATAAAATTGAAATTACCTTTTCTCTAGGATTTTGTCTGCTCCAAATCAAACAAACAAAAAATATCACTATTCGCAAAAAATGTAAAATTGTTTGTGGTCTGAAATCTTTGTGCTTCTTGGAAAACAACCAACTATCCTTGTGTCAGTTATTTTGTTGTGGACAAGACTTTGTTTTCAATTTAGGAAAGATCAATATAGGATCAATTTAAGTTGAAAAAAATTAGGGTTCTTGTTTAAATTGATTTAATGCAAAGATTTTTATGAAAATTTTTGTCAAAATTCATGTTAATTTGTAGTTCGAATTTCGAATTTTTGTCGTTTTTTATGTATACAAAAAAAAATTTAGGTAAAACAAGACTGTTTATAGCAGGACAAAACCCTAAATGTTCCGACTGCCTTTTTTATTGGTATCGAGAAGTTTTCGTGTGATTAATTTTTGGCAAAACTATAAATTTTAGGCTGATCAATTCAAAAATTAAGTGCTGCACATTGAAAGCGATTGAAACCAATTAGGTGCCTCAAACAATTCAATTTGAAACATTTTGTATTGTAGGAAAATAAAAAAAAAATCCAAAAATGAATGACATGTTACTTTAGTGGTGTGCACACTCCGTAGATCGCATGTAGATCAAGCGCTCGATCCCCGCTGGAACAGAGTTTTGTAACAGTGTTCTAAATAAAAAAACGCCACACCTAGCAGATATAGTTATATCCTTCTTTTTTTTGAAAATAGGAGCAATAAATTTAAAAAATGCTGTTGTCTGGAGCTCAAAATTGGACAAAATTCACCTATGAATTTTTTCCTGAAATTATAAGGGTTTGAAAAGTGCTAATTTGGCCATTGTATGATAAATAAGGCGCAACAAATTGTATTTTAATAGCACGCGTAAGTTAATGAGTAATGTTTTCTTCCAAAAAGAATAGTGGCAAGTCATTTGACGTTACCTGCACAGTGCATGACGCTATAATTCTTTGAAGATCAAATTAAGAAATCGGGGGTTAAATTGTAGCTTATGTTAAAAAGTTGACGCTTGCATTCAGAAGCCGGGGGTAATTTTTTCTAATGGTTTTGTCGGTTTTTAAACTAAAATGAAAACCAAAACCTAATTTTTCTATAACAAGACGTTGAATTTAAAACAATTTGTTCTTAAATTTTTTTCAATAAAAAGACATTTTTTCTAATGTGAAAATTACTCTAGTGTTGTAATCAAAGACACAAGCTTAATCCCCAATGTTGCAACTTCTATGAATACCAGTTACAAGGTTCAATACAAACTTTCCGCAATTGCAAAATCAGAACATTATCAGAACTTAACAACAAAATAGACTAAGAGACAGAACATGAGAAAAATTGATTTTTTTGTTTTGATACGGCTCAACAGCTCTCAACTTCCCAACCTCTTTATGATGCAGTTTGACTCCCTCTCAACGTGCTCCAATCCAATTTTCCTTTTGATCTACAGAAGGAGGCATCTTTTTGTCCAAAATTACGACAAGCTTATCGATGATTGCGCCGAAATAACCAAATTTAACCAACCTGTATTTTAAATATAAACCTGTATTTAAAATTTGGTGGAGTTAGAGGACCAAGATATCATACGTTTTGAATTTTACGAATAGCTACTGTTGTTCCACATTTGACAACTTTAACAACAATAGTTTTTGAGGCTTCTTTTAGCGCCTTCTTGAGAATAAAAAAGCCTTGAATTTTTTTTTGATAAAAGTTGCTGTTTTACAATCGAATTTACATTATCTTTAGGTTTTTTCTGCTCATAATCAAACGAACAAAAACCATCACTATTCGCACATAAATGTAGAATTGTTTGTGGTCTGAAATATCTGTGTTTTTGGAAATCAATCAACTACCAACTTTGAGTCGCGTATGAAAATAATGAAACCAATTAGTTGCTTCAAACAATTCAATTTGAAACATTCTGTATTGCGGGTTAAAATTTTTTTCCAAAACTGCATGACACGTTATTATAATAGTGCGACACTCCGTAGGTCGCATGTAGATCAAGCGATCGATCCCCCGCTGGAACAGAGTTTTGAAAAATTGCTCTAAAAACACCAACCCTAGCAGATATAGTTATATCCCTCATTTTCTTCGAAAGTCGGAACAATAAATCTAACAATGCTGTTGTCTGGAGATCAAATGTGGACAAAATTCACCTGTGATTTTTGTCGTGAGGTTATAAGTGTTTGAAAAGTGCTAACATGGCCATTTTGTGATAATTTTGGCGCAACAAATTGCGTTTTCGTAGCACGGGTAAGTTACTGAGTAATGTTTTATTCCAAATTTATTTAAGGCAAGTCATTTGACTATATCAGTAAAATACGTAACGCTATATACCTTTGTATTTTAATTTAAGAAATCGGGGGTTAAATTGTAGTTTTTGTTAAAAAGTCGACGCTTACTATCAGAAGTCGGGGGTTAAATTACTTTTTTTTTGTTTTGTCGATTTTTAAACTAAAATGTAAGAGCAAAAGTTATTTTTTCCTCTCAACGTCCTCCAATCTAATTTTCCTTTTGATCTACAGAACGAGGCATCTTTTTGTCCCAAACTATGACAAGCTTATCGATGATAGCGCGCAAATCACCAAAAATAACCAACCTTTACCTGTATTTAAACTTTCCAATTATTTTTAAAAAATTTTATGTACTTATATTTTATCTTTTAAATTGTTTTTAATTATGACCGTTTATTGGAGGTAAACGACCAAAATTGGAGAAATTCAGATCTTTACGAATAGCTAACGTTGTTCCCTTCTTGAAAACTTCAACAACAATAGTTTATGAAGCTTCTTATAGCGCCTGCTTGAGAACAAAAAAGCCTTGGAAAAAAAGCAAAAAAAACGGCTTTTTCTAAAAAAAAGTTTCGTTTTCTTTTTATAAAAAAGCTGTTATACAACCGAAATGACCTTTTCTCTAGGTTTTTGTCTGCTCATAGCCAAACGAACAAAACACATCACCATTTGCAAAAAAAATGCAGAATTGTTCCAAAAATGCAGAAGTTTCATCTTAGTTTTAAATCAGTGTTCCTATAACGATCGTTTGCTTAATTATTTCAAACCCAATTGACGACCATACTCCATGATATTTCAAACCGTGATATTTCAAACCCAATTGACGACCATACTCAATCAGAGACGGCATTGCAACTCACCACTGAAAAATGTAGACAGCAAATTCAACCTTAAGGATCAGCTGCTTTTAAAAGCCTTTACCACCATTCGAATTACATACGGAATTCGAAACACAAAATCATCAAATATGATCGTTAATAAAAGTAAGAGTTATGGACATAGCCGCGGCAAATTCAACAGTTCGATAAAGCGGTACTACAACCAGTCGAGCTATAAGCAGACGTCATAACGGCCAGATGAAACGACCACCAATGATTAAGATGCCACGGAAAAAACAAGTAAAGGGACCAAGTGTTTTGTTTCGTTTTTAGGAAGCAAGGCCTAGCCGTGTCACTTTTTGGTTAGTACCGACCCTTTTTTTTGCATCGGCTCAAAAGGTTCCCCGTTGTCTGAGAGACTTGGGACTTCAATTTTTGGCAATAAGACACAACTTTAAGATACCCGATTTGAAAAAAAACCCGGAAAAAACTTGCCTGACCCCAAATTTTCAAAGACAGTTTTTTCCGTTTTTTTTCCAATAGGGTATCTTAAAGTTGTGTC